GAAGATATGCTGGGGTGGTCAGTAAGAGGGAGAGTAGGAGGGTGTGAACTACAACACAAGGTGCTCCTGAGGGGACCTATGGCTCTAGAACGGAGACGAGTGTTTGATGATTAGCAGTGGCTAATGACCAGATTACAAGATGCTTCAGGGGATGCTCAAAGGCTAGCCCCATGCATTTCGGACAAATGAATGTACCATCCAAAGTGGTCGGAGTGTACCAAATCAGCACCTCCAAAACCCTGGGGCGGGATTTTGCTGGGCGATTAAGTGTCCATTTTCTGCCCATTTCCTAGCCTCTGGTCTACTGTGTTCTGCCTCTCTCTAGCCAGTGTCCACCGAGGGGCCTGGCTGTAGCTCTCTTTTCCCGGGCGATGTACTTTCAACCAGTTTTGAGCAGCCCCATTTCAGATTGGCCTTTTTATGTTTGATATAAAGAATAGTTGTTGGCCAATTTCATCTTTTCATCGCTGTTCTCTAGGCCTGAATCCAAGCAGTTTGTCAGATGCTCATTAACTCCCCCTTTGGCTCTTTCTAGTGTGTCTCCTAAGCTCATTGTGCCAAGAACTAACGCTTTCTTTTACACGATTCTCTTTCTCTGCTCCATCAGGGAGACAAATTACTTTCCAAAAGGGATCGCCAGGGATGGTTTAATGAGAATTTCTTTGGGGCTAGGCATGGAACGCAATGTAGTTAACATTCGGTGGACTTAATTGGACTTTTCTTTTCTGCCTCTTTTAAAAAAAATCTGAAGCTATCCTGTTAATCTCTCATTTGTAATCAATTGTGTTGACTAAACAAAAGTCTAGGTCGTCTTTTCTTCCTGTCCCAGACAATCCTTTGTTGCCTCTAAATGCCTCATTCTTGAGTGATCCTGGTCGCATAGATGGGCCCGATTGTTGACAGTTCATTATTGCGCTTTTGTCCATTTAATCTTTCTTGCTGTGTTTTGCATGTGCATGCCTTAATGAGCTCCGTTGGCAATTAACATGTTTCTAGGAGCAAACCGGTTGCTCAGACGTTTGAGAGGGAAGTGCAGGGAAAAGGGCAACGCAGCTGCCTTGAGGTTGTTTATTTCCCAGCGTTTTCTCAAGACTCGGGTCCTCTCTTGGGCAGCCCCTCCCCCACCTCCCCCCCTTTTCCTCCTTGAGCCCATTCACCGCCGACACACCTGGATGGCTAGTTGCTGTGATTCTTGGGTCTAGCTCGGCCAACTTCCTATCCTCTTGTGAGCTGAAGAGTGAAACGGGGACTGCATAGATCTGCTTCTGCAGCCAAGGCAAGAATGAGCACAGTGCTCCCCAAAATGTGTCTGGATGCTGGCAACTTCTCTGTGTCGCTCTTTGCAGAGAGGAACCTCTAACCCGCCTAAGGCAATAGGACTGTACAATCTGTTATGTACAAGGCTGTGGCTTTGGAAGAAGGAGGGTTTTTTTTTTTTTTTGAGTCTTGCTGGCAAGATTGCTGAAGTGTGAGCAGTCATGGACAGAACAAACATCTTGTAGGGGAAAAGATAATTGGAGCCTTTTTGTGTCTGTGACAGAATTCCCCTCCCCCGCAATTTGATTTTTTAAAAAAAAATATTTTTTCAGGGCGGCCTCTTCAATTTAATCAAGGTTAGAATATTATTATGCAGTTGATGACTACCTTGTTTAAGTCATTTGTGAATTTTGCAAACTAAAAGTCATGTTTAATATGAAAAGGGAGAAATAAAAATCAGAAAACAAAACCTTGCACCCATCAATTCCGATGCATGGTGAATAACTAAGAAGCAATCCTAGTTAATGTGGTTACTGAAAAGGCTTCGTCTTGGCTCCAGGACATGCCCTGGCTGTGAAAGGTGTTTAGTAATTCAAGCAGAAGTTTCCTTTTTCCTTTCGTACTACTTTTCAGGTGAAGGAATCCTTTCTTGCGGCCACCCCTGAAGGAAGCAGACATCTTAAACCTGGGAGGAGTGACTTCAAGTCGGTGGTAAGCAGAGATAAACCTATAGATACTGAAGAACTCTGTTTATCTACAATTACCACCAGATGTGAAATGACACCTTCTCAGGTGAGAGCGATTGACAGGAATGAGTGTGAAGGTTAAGTAACAATCAAGTTATGAGGAAACAACCCCCATAGAGGTTGGAATATGCAAGAGATTCTGCTCTCCCCACCCCCCCAGAGCCAGTTATCCAACCCTTTGCTCTCAGTGCCTTGGCAATGAGCAATCCCTGAGGGAGCTGCCTCCTGCCCCGCCCATCAGCTTGAGTTCCCCTGCCTTCTAGTACACAGAAACCCTTGCCCCTCTCCCAGACCCATCCCTCCAGTTTCCAGAGACCGGTGTCCTGTGTTTCTCTTGTGATGTTATTATACAAAAGATTCTTAAGAGTCCTCTTGATTTAAAAAGTTTTCTCTGCGGATGGGATATCCATCTACTTTTTTTCCCCCAATGTAACTTTTCTTCCTAATGACGAACATAATTTTCACAGCAGGCCAATTATTTAATAACCCAAGTCTAGTATAGAAGGAAAAGCACTTGTGTTGCACACGGCGACCCGGGTTCAATCCTCATTTGGTTCCCCAAGCCCTGCTTGGAGTGATCCCTGGTCTCAGAGCCAGGAATAAGCTGAGCCACCACTAGGTGTGTGTGTGTGTGTGGGTTCGGGGGGAGCAGCAAAAACCAAACAAACAACCCAACCCCCAATTCTCTAAGAGGAGGCCTTTCCACTAAAGTTTGGGGATACTTGTTCCTCGTTCCAAAGTTCTGGAACTACTTAGGAAGGGAGGCTTACCCTGACTATTGATTGTCTCATCTCAAGAAGTATATCTAAGGAGGATCCGTTCCAAAAGGCATAGAAGAAAGGCTTCAGGTTAAGCTGAGTGTCCTCAGGGCACCCAAGGTATCCCAGAAACGTGGAGTGGGCTAATAAAACCCAGAAAGAAGGAGAACAAGGAAAGGAGCGGAGTCTGCAAACCAGTCATGTCCCCAGGGGCAGCCAGATGGGCGGGACAGCAAGGTGACAGTTCTATATCTTAGCCTGGAAGGCCTCCTCATCTATCCTGGGGGTTCCTGGGGTTTTAGCATCCACCAAGTTTCATCTCTCTCGCTGGGTTCCTATCTCCCCTCAGCGCACTGCAGCCAGCTCGAACTAACATTTAAATTCCTTCTCGCTTCCTAGTCTCCCCCCTCCCCTGGCTGTGTCTTCCCAGACTTGGGGAAGGGGGCGGGGAGGGAGGAATACAAAAAAAAAAAAAAAAAAAAAACGAGGACGCTCTCCTTTCAGGAAACGGAATTCTAATGTACACGTTCCTATTTCTGAATCGGAGGTACTAAAAATACCCCGCGACAGCCTGAGGAAGCTGTCGCCGTCCTCTGTGCAAACAAAATCGACAATTCTCTTTCCCCGCGCAATGGGTCTGCTAGTTGGGTGGGGGCCAGAGATTGCAACCTTCGGCTGCGACCAGGACAGAGCTGCCCCGCCAACAGTACCCAGCGAGGTTCGAATCCCGGCCCTCGCTTGTCTGGGGGGCCCCCGAGACTTGCCATTCAGCTGATCTCTGCCACCGTTTCCATTTCTCAGTCCATCCGCAAAGTGGGAGCAATCACCCCCCGTGCGTGAGTGGTGTGTGAAACGTTTAGCGATACACTGTGTCGAGCGCTCGACTCGGAGCAGACGTTTGAAAGGAAAGGCGAGCTTTGGAGACCGCAGTGGCCCTTGCAGCTGCGCGCCTACTGTGCGCTGGCCACTGGGAAAACTCGACCTCAAGTCGCTTTCGGAACTTTCCTTCGGTTCCGTTCGCTCGGACCAGTCCCCCCCCTCTACCAGACCGCCTCCACTTGCCGAGGAAACGCGCGTGGGGTCTCTCTGCCCCCTGCCCGCCGTCGCCGCCCTCGCTCCGGGGGGAAGCGCGCTCCGGACCCCGCGGCGCGCTTCCTCCCCGCGCGCTAGGAAGCAATTTTCCAGGAGACGTGGGCTGAATTGCTGCGCCAATATTAGGAGGGTGGGGTGGCGGGAGATCGAGAAGCGGGGGGTTGGGGGGTGTATGTGTGTGTGTGGGGGGGGGGGTGGGGGGAGTTAGGAGGCGAGGGGGCTTGGGGGTGGGGTGGGGTGGGCGGCCGCGCCGCGCCAGTAATCCGAGCTCTTGATTATCCAGATTCGGATCAAACGGGGCGGCGACGGCGGCCCCCTCCTGGGAATGATTAGATGATTAATGTAATGCTGTTTGAAGAGTCTCTGTTTTCTCTCTTAATTTGGGTCATTACTTAGAAAGCAAGCGTGAGATCATTTCATCAGCGTGCTCGGCCGCGGAGAGAGCTATTCAGGAAATGGGACTCACCGCGCGCCCCTCGGGGAGCCCCGGGGGCCCAGGCGCGCCCTCCCGCGGCACCGCGCACCCGAGGGTGGGGGCCCCAGGGTGACCGCGTGGATCCCCGGGTCGCAGAGGCCGGCTGGGCAGGGGGGCTCTGGACCTCCAATTCTCCAATTCCAAAAGCTGTCCTTTCCCCCACCCCCACTCCCACCCCCACCCCCCGGCTCCCCGTTTGGGTCAGCCGGGAGGGAGACAAGCTCAGAAGCGCCAGAGCGGGCCCTCTGCCCTAGAACTGCACGCTAAGCTCGAGGAGGGACCCGACACGGCTCTGGCAGCACCCGGCCACTTTTAACCCCTCCTATTGAAAAAAAAAAATCTTACCCAAATAAGGCAACACCCAGAATCCCAAGCGCCGGAACAGTCACCAAATAGAAACTTGGCACCACGTGGAGGCAGATGTAGGCCTTTGCACCCTTGCTCCTGCTGGTGGGGGAGGGGTTCTGAACAGGCAGGCGCTATTGGAACACCGATTCTTTTCTCACCCTGATCCCTGCACCCTAGAGGAAGTCGCCTTGGAGAAGGAAAATGCTACTAGCATCTCTTTCCTTTTTTTTTTTTTTTAATCTTTTCTTTCTTTTTTTTTTTTTTTGAGGGGGTGCGGAACTGACCTCACGGCGAGGGGAGAAGGGGGAAAGAAAACGCTCACTAATGATTCCGTTTATTGAGTTATGTAGGTATATTATATTCCTTGTCGGCTTGTACAGGAGGATTTACATGGCTGTATAAAGGCGGTTGGGCGCGCCGCGCGCTTCCGGGGCGCACACGTGATAGCTGGGGGTCCAAACCGGCCTCCCCAGGAGACGCCGAGGCCCGGGAGGCAAGTCACTATGTTTCGGCGCACTGGGTTTAAATAAATTTCCCGAATATACAAAGGTGGGAGCCACGCGTTTGCTGCCAGTCATCGAGGAAACGTGTAGCTTTCCAAAAATACGCTGGTTTCGATAAATAGATTTTAGCCTCTCTGCTATAGTGGTTTTTTTTTTCCTTTCCTTTAATTTCCGAAATAAGTTTATACGTGTGATCTGTTTTAGGGTGGGAGGGGTCGGAAGGGAGGGCGAGGCAGTAGCTCTCAGCTCTGCACGGTCCGAGTCAGGTCCTTTGTGGAGGGGGCGGCGGGGCTCACGCTGTCGTGGAGTTTGCGCACGTGTTTCTTCAAGTCAAAGTTTCTGCAAAACCCTTTGCCGCAAGTGGCGCACGTGAAAGGCTTCTTGTCGTTGTGGGTGTGCATGTGGAAGGTCAAATTGTAGACCTGGTGGAAGGCCTTGTTGCAGATGGTGCATTTGTACTGCTTCTCGCCGCTGTGCGTCAGCTTGTGGTTCTTGTAGTTCCCTAAAGGAGACCAACAACAAAACAAAACAAAACAAAAAAACCCAAAAGTGTGGGGAGGGGATGAAGTGGAATGCCAGGAGGGGGGAGCGGGTCCCCGATGTGGAATGAAGGCGGGGGAGTGGAGGTGGGGGTGACAGGCGTCCCGGGGGCGTTAGCCTAGGAGCCCGCTCAGGGAAGGCAACGCTTGGCTACGCGGGCTTGACCTCTTCGAGTGAAGAAGTTGTCAAACTTGGTCGCCGTCAAGCCTAGGGGCTCAGGCGGGGGGCAGAGGAGTGCGGAGACCCGGGAGCCGCCCCGGGCCCTGCCCCGCCAGATCCGGAGGGCCTGCAGTGCGTCACTCCCGCTGTGCTCTGCCGGCCTGGAAACTTTGGCAGCCCAGAGTCTCAGCAGCAAATCCCGACTGCAGCCTCGCTCCAAGAAATTCGCACAAACCCGAGCTTCGGCCCTCCTTTTTTTTTTTTCCCCTCTAATTTCCTCCTCGGTTTAAAAGTTACTACGTTTAGTATCTCCCCCTCTCACCCCCACCACCACCACCACCACCACCACCACCTGGAGACCCGAAAGCGCCGTGGAAAATCCCAGCGGAACACCAGGGCTGAGGACAGCAGCAGACCCCGGCCCCCAGTCTTAAGTTGTTCCCAAGAGGTGCATTTTGCCTTGATATATATATATATATATATATATATATATAATATTTTAATTTGGAAAGAGAGTCCTAGCTACAAAGAGATGCCTTTGCTATAGGGCGCTACGAGTCCTCCCTTTCCCCACTTCACTTGCCCTCTGCCCTCTGCACTGACTTTCCTGGCCCCCTCCCCAGTTCGGAGTCATTCCGCCCCCCTCCCTCCCTGGGGGCAGCCAGCCCGAATGCGGGGAGATCTATGAACCCAGCCCGGAGAGCGGCTACCCAAAGCCCGGCACAACCCGATTCCAAAGAAAAGCCGAGGAGCGGAGCCCGCCGCTTGCTTCTCGCGCGCCCACTCTCCGGATCCTTTGCCTTCCCGCTAACCGTGACCCGCTGAGTCCCGAGGTGAGGTGAGGAAAGGGCCTCGCCCGGCACGCGTTACCTTTTTGGTGAAAGCCTTTACCGCAAAATTCGCAGACGAAGGGCTTGTAGCCCGCGTGGATGCGGATGTGCGTGTTGAGCGTGGAGCTGCGGTTGAAGGCTTTGCCGCACTGGTTGCATTTGTGCGGCTTTTCCTGCAGAGAGGGGCGCAGGCACGGTGAGGCCAAGGCCCTGGGGAAGGGTGCGGGGGAGAGGCCCTCCAAAGGGAAAGGGAGGGGGCGCTTGGAAAGAAGGACCTGAGTCCACTGGAGGGTTAAAGGGGCACGCCCGGCCAGCCTCTCCCCAACGCCTTGGGCGCGCGGGTCGAGCCCGATTCGCGGGTAACGTACCTGGGTGTGGATGATTTTGTGTCTGCAGAGGGTGCTGGCCTGGCGGAAGCCCTTTCCGCAGACTTTACACACGAACGGCCTGGCTCCGGTGTGGACTGGCATGTGGCGGGTGAGGTTATAGTGAGCGTTAAACACCTGGGGAAGGACACGAGGGGGACCTTGTGGTGCTGCGTTCTGCCCGCGGGAGACCAGCGCTGCCTTCCCCGTGTCCAACCAGGCCTCCCTGCCCCTTTTCGAAACCTGTGCCCCTTCCGTTTGGAAAGCGTTCCCTGCCCACTCTCCACGCCAGTCCTTGCAGCAGCCTCAGACAACCACAGCCCCACTTTACTGACTAGGAAACTGAGGCCCAGCTAGGCCCCCGGCTGGAGAGGGCAGCTCCCCAAGGCGCTGCGCAACTGGAAAGAGGGGACTGATCTGGGTGGCTGGACGGCAGTCCCCGCCGCGCCCCCTCCCTCGCTCCCTCCCGCCCGCCCCGCCGGCCCAGGCCTCACCTTGCCGCACACCTCGCAGGTGAAGTTTTTGGGCTTGCCGTCCGCCGAGCTCCCCGGCAGCTTGCCGTGACCCTTGCCGCCGCCGCCGCGCTCGGCCGTCAGGGCCGAGTTCTCCTTCAGCACCTGCTCCAGCGGCGCGGACAGGCGCTCCTTAGGGCTAAAGGGGGCCGGGTGGGCGAACTTGTCCGCGGCCAGGCCGGCCAGCTTGGCGTTCTCCAGCAGGAAGAGCTTGGGGTGCGCGGCGAGGGCGGCGGGGGCCTGCGCGTGGAGGAGGCCGGACGGGAAGAGGTGGCCGCCCAGGAGCTCCGACGGCGGGTACGCGGCCGAGTCCAGGTAGTTGAAGTAGTAGAGCGAACCGCTGGCCGGCAGCCCCACGGCCTGGTTGATGACCTGCGGCTTGATGACCCTGCCCGCGGGCAGCGCAGCCGGCGCCAGGCCCAGCTCGGCCTTGCAGCACATGCCACAGTTGGTTTTGCACAAGCCGCTGGCGCCGCACACCGGAGCCCCCCCGCCCCCGCCGCCGCCCGCCCGGAGGCTGCTTTTCCAGAGCTCGGAGTAGCTGAGCAGCGTCTTGGACGGCACCTCGTAGCCCAAGGGCTGCAGCGGGATCATGCAGGGCAGCGGCGAGCAGAGGTTGAGCGATTTCTTGCCCTGGCCACCGTCCGCCTCCAGCGCCCCCGGCCGGGGCTCGAAGGGCGCGCGGGGCTCCGACGTCGTCTTGGCCATGATGCGCTCGATGGAGAAGGCCAGGGTCTTGGAAGTGGCCGGCGACGCTCCAGCGCGTGGGCAGGCCGGGGGCACCATGGTCTCCAGGGAAGCCGAGCTGGCCATGGCGCGCCCAGCAGAGCCGTGCCGGACTGGGCCAGGGTGCTGCCCCACTCCTCTAAGTCTGCATTCCGGAAAAGGCAGGGAGGGAAACCGCGATTTAATAAGCACCTTGCCGGGTCCGGGTCACCCATTTGCATTCAAATGGACGGGGGGGGGGGCAGAATAAAGTGCACCCAAGGGTACCAAATTACCACCCATTAGCCCGTGCGCCAAGGAGCCCACCGGCCCCAGCTGAAAGGGGAGAGAAGAGAAGGCGGGGGGCGCGGGGGGGGGGCTTACAAAGAAAAGGGAGAAAGAGAAAAAGAGAGAAAGGAGCCTCGAGTTAGCCCCCACTCCCACCCCCTCCGCAAGTGGCTCCCTGGACCCCGGCCTCCGCCACTCGCGCGGGGAGCCGGGCAGGGAGCGGGGCGAAGTTGCCGCCGACGCGCCAGGCCGCCGGCCCGCGTTTACCTCTTTCCCCCACCGCCAAGGAGACGCCTTCCGAGCCATGCAGCGCGCCTCCTCTGTCACATGTTGACGGCAAACATCTTCCCCTCCGCGTGAGAGCACTGTCTTTTACATTCGGCTGACATCACACGGAGTCACTTGCAGGGGAAGGACAGGGGCGGCGGCGCGGCTCAGCCCGTGGCCCCGCGCCCGCCGGCCGCCGCCACCGCCCCTCAAACTTTAAAAGGAGGCAACTGGCGCCCGCGCTCCCCTCGGGAAAGTGCGAGCGGTGCGCGAGTCGGGAAGGAGGGAAGAGACGGGGGGAGGGGGAGGGGGAGGAATCGTGATGGTTTTGCCGGTGGAGGGGGGTGGGCGGGTGTGGGGGGGGGTGGGAAGGAGCAGGAGCCCAAACCCAGGCGGAGTTCCGTGCGTGATTCACAACTTTGGGGGCCTGCAGGTTTGGGGGGAGACGGGGAGGGCTGGAGGTACCCTGCGCGCCGCCCCCCACTTCCCTTTAGGCGTCCGTCTAGTCGCCAAAGTATCCCTTAGCCCTCTGCAGCCGAGCTGGGCATCGTGCTAATAAACTGCCACTTACCCACGGAGCCGGCGCCAGCCCCGAACACGCGCAAATGATAATTACCTCATTAGGATGTAGCGCATGGACGCGGGCGACGCGTTCGGAGGGGGGGACTTGTTAACGGGCAAATATTAAGGGATGCGACACCAAGCTGGCCGGGGCTGGCGTCAGAGGTCGGGAGAGGGCTCCCGCCGCCCAAGGGACGACCCCGAAGCGTCCCCCAGGTACGTCCGGAGGAGCCAGGCCGCGCGCCCAGATCCCCCGTGCGCCTCGGCGCCCGCCCGGTGCGCCTCCCCGTCGCTGGCCCGCTCCCCGCCGGCGGCTCGGGGAGACTGCACCGGAGTTGACTGCTTGCGATCCTAATCGATCAGAATCGCTGACTTGTGATCGGGTTTCTGAGGCCAAGCCTGGCTCGCTCTGCTGCTTTTGAGCGGCGTGCGGAGAGGATGCGGAGGGCAGCTCTCCCCGCTGATGGGTACTTACTGTTTGTATAATTGAGAAGGTCCAATCTCCACCTGTTTAAGGAGCAGATTGAAACAGCAGAACCTCCCCTGGATCCTATTAAAACGTTTTTCCTCCTAAGGCCTTTCAGTCGAACCAATTTTCCGAAGTGATTCATAGAGCTGAATTCTGCCAAGGCAGCTCTTTCACTTTTAGCCACTAAAGCACCGCGTGGAACCGGGTTTTGTGTTTTTCTAAAATAAAGAGAAGGATTATCAGAGGGGAGAGGGAGGGGGGTCTGAAGGGGGGCGGGCGGAGACTTAGTGTGGCCAGAGGTACAAGCAGAGGGAAGAAAGGCCCTTTTCTAGACAGGCCCCAAGTAAGTTCGGAGGAATTCAGCGTTTTGTGCCTGGCGCACAAAAGCAGCGCGCTCCGCGCTCCGTTTGGAGGGGCTGAATTCATCTGTTTGCAGACCATTCCACCTGCGTATCACAACAAACTGCTCAAAGACGCTCCAGCACTTTCAACAGGCCGGGTGCTCTGGGCCACAACAAAAGTGGTCCAGGCTGAGGGTTCTTATACGGTGGGAGGGGGGCAGCTACCGAGAGAGCCAGCGAGAGAATTAGGTTTAGGAAAGGGGGGGGGGTGCGTTTTTTTTTTTAACTTTCAGGCGGTTTTGTTTGCGGGACAATCATATCTTGCCAGCCGGCTTTTACAAGACCTCGAGCTTTGTAGCTGCAACCACAGTTTAAGAGGATTACAATGGGTATAATATGGGCAAACAGGGCTGAGGATTTGATAGTGAATTCCATCTCCGAGGACTCATGATCTTGTGGAACCCCCCCCCCAAAAGTGCTAGTGGACGCAAACACTTCTTTTTCACTGGGAAAAGGGGGTGGTGAGGAGCAGAGCATCTGTTTCCGGGCACTGAGCTGCAAGCATACCGTGAACGGGAAACATCAGAGAAAGGAGCAAGAAAAGGTGTAGTTTAAACTTCAGGCAAATCACTCCTTTTTCAGTCTCAGAACTTCTCTCTCTCTCACTCCCCCTCTGAAGTGAAATTTCAGACAGGATATTGACAAGGCAGGTAAAGGAAAGAAAAAGTGTCCTTGGATAACAAGAAGAAACAAAGAGATCTCTGAGGGAAAGTGACCTGGACTGCGCCAGCAGTGGGTTAGTTTTTTCACTTTGCCAAGCTAAAACTGCCCTTAAATTCAGCAGTCAGAAGTATGTTCTTCAACAACACCCCCCCCCCCCCCCCCGTCACACACCACACACACACACACACACACACGGATTTCAAAGCTAGAAAGAGGCTTTTTCATCTGGAGGACAGTATTTCCATATAGTCCAGAGAAGCAGAATTCCAGATCCAGCACACTCACCCCCCAATTCTGTGCTAATGTGGAAACAAAACACATATGAAACACATCCCGCATCCCCCCCCCCACACACACACATCAACCATGAAACAAACCCACAACTCACCCTGACACTGAAACCGTATCATTACACCCGAAGAGGCTCAAAACCCAAATTTCTATCCCGACTTTCTTGTGAATCCTGTTCAGCCACCAGCACTGCACCCCAACCCCCTTTCCAAATTGGATATTGTTGATCTCGGCAGCAGCTCCAAAGATCTGCTGGTTTGAAAGCTCCATCAGGCTGAAAGGCTTCCAAAGGCTTCCCGTGAACCTGCCTTGCCATCCCCAGCGCTTTTTGTAGCTGCATAAGCCACCTCTCTCTTCCCGGCATCACAAAGGAGTGCTACCTCCACAGAAAGAAAACATTTGGGTAAAAACAAGTTGCCCCTAATGTGCCTCTCCTTCCAAATGTTGGGTGAATACACTGGCTTTTATGAAAGTATTTAATTAGCTTCCACAAACTTCTCCTTCCCTCGCCTGCAGATTATATTGAAGTGGAGGGTTGGAAACTATTTTACACCTTGCCACTCACATGTTAATTAATCTCTATCTAACCCTAATTGCAGTTTATTCAAGCACCGCTCAACAGCTCACCCACACAATAAACACTGATCCTACTTTTATACATATTACTTCACGTTAACACATTGAGTAATTAACTCCAGTACCAACTAATAGTGCAAACAAATATTTTCTGTAAACGAGATGATTTCAGGCAGAATAATAGAGGACTCAGGAAATGTGGTTCATGGTGAAGGGGATGGTGAGGTCTTGATTCTCTGCTCCCCCACTCTCCAAATTCTTGCTCATACTCCACATCAATCCTTTCTTTCTTTCTTTCTTTCTTTCCTTCCTTCCTTCTTTCTTTCATGCTTTAAAAAAAGAAGTGTTGAGAGTTAAAATTTTATCATTTTGAAGGACTTGGTGGAGGGGGTTTGTGAGATTAGGGATGACTTTTTTTTCTACCCACACATTTTTAATGTGGGAAAAATCCAAAACAGTAAACTGAAAGGGAAATAAGAGGCTCCAGTGATAAATGGCAGCTTCAGGGATGTGGATCATGGAAAAAAAAAGTTTCCCAAACCTATTCTAAAGAAGTCCTGTGCCTTGAAATCAAGAGTGGAGACTGGCAGAGACAGACCGGAAGTTGCAGGGTCTCTCCTGCACACACTCCTTTTATAAGCTCCACCTGCAGGTGTGTTGCCTGGGGTTTCACAGTCATACCTAGGGGACCATCTCACCTGGTTCCACAAAGTCATGGCCAAAGAGAGGCCCACTAGAGCTCAGCATGGACTTGGACCCAGGGGCTGGATTCCTAGATTGCCCTGGGGAAATCTGCCTGGCGCTGATTCTTGGTGGCAGTCTGGCTAGATGGCATGGGCAGCAACCCTTGTACATCAACTCTGGGGCCTCAGGCTCCCATGCAACTCTTTCCTGGTGCCAGTGCCCATGGCTAGAACTTTCGCCTGGGTCCCTCTGGTCACCTGGAGCCTTAATGCCTCATATTCTGTGGAGAAGCAGTGCCAGGTCGCAAAGGCCGCGGGAGGCCTGTGTTCATCCCACTTTGCGGAGTTGGATGCCAGGGCCTGAACTTCTCCAGCTCCACTGAGCCTGACCTGGACCCCCACCTTGTTGGGGACAACATCCATGGGCTGTCATATCTAGACCGGTCCACTCACACACCAAGATTGGGACATCCCGACTCAACCTCAATGCCTGGGACGCAGTGCTCATACAGACTGCACAGGTTAGCACTGGTGGCTGTCTACTGATTTCCCAGGGATTCCCTTGTGCAGACATACTAAAGACATCAAATATAGTCGACTAGAGCTGCTTGAGCCTCACCCCCTTTCCTGTCCCCCACACCCACCCCAATCTCTGGTCATTGTATGGGCACTGACTCAAACGCTGGGATGATGACTTTTGTTTAAATTTCTTTTAATGCCAGCACCAATCGCTCTTCTTAGGGCAAAATACTTAGCAGGCGCCTTCCCAGGACGTATACAGCCTCGGAGGAAAATCCTGCTCTTAAGCCCAACACACACATTAGCACTGCTCCTGGGATCAAGGAGGGGAAAGTCAGCCTTTTGGATCTTGCAATTCCAGCTCTGGGGGGAACTCCTGGGTCTCCTGGGTCTAGGCAAGCAGCGTCTTTATTTTGAATTCGGTTATTCTCCTCTCACCTGATTGCCGGGTTGCGCCACCGCCGACCTCTTCTTTTGCCAGCGCCCTCGGGAGTCAGGCCGCGTGGGGGGGGAGCCGGCAAGCTCAAGGCTGCAGTTTGGGGAAACTCCCAGGCAGCGGAGAAGTCCTTTCTCCCTACACCCTACGACAACAAACAAACTTGACGGAGTCGTGAATCTCTCTTCCTCTGTCCCTTCTTTCCAACGGGACTTTTAGGATCTGATTTACAAGGTGTCAGTCCTTGCACTACTGGTAATAGATTAATTTCTAAAGAGATTTTTATTTTATTTTATTTTTTTGGCTACCTCTCCCCTCCCCCCTCCCTCCCCGCCGCCTCCTAGTTTTCCCAGGAAGCTTTTTTCTGTTTTTCTTTTTTCTTTTTCTTTCTTTTTTATTTTTTTATTATTGAGAACAGTCGAACTGGCTAGCCAGTGGCAGGCTGGTTCCAGGCGCAGGGGCCTCCGCCTCCGGTGCGCGCGGTTTGCAGGATTAGTGCGGGCGGCCGGGAGACAAAGAGCCCCAGATCCCCGGGGCAGGCGAGACCAGGCGCTTCCAGAAAACTCCCGGTTCCGGATCCCGGGCCCGAGAGCTGCAGCTCCGCACCGGCCCGGGCCTGCAGGGACTGATGGGCCACAGCCGCCTTCATCTGCCGGCGTCGCGTCCTTGGGGAGGCTGCGGCGAGCGCAGTCGGGGTGACCGCGAGCTCGTCCCGCTCCCCCCCCCCCCCCCGCGGCTGTCTGCGACCCCCATCCATCCCCACCGCCCTGCCCCGTGGCGTTCGGGACGTCGTTTGCCAATCTCGGTGCCCCCGCACACTGGTTGTCACCCCCGAGCAAGAAAGGCAGCCAGTTTGGTAGATCTGCGGGGAGAGAGGGGTGCTGGTGCGAAACTGCCAGGATGTCCAGGATCTTCCCCAACCCCTTGCCGCGATCACCTCGGAGGACTCCGACCGCGGTTTCGGAAATCGGAAATCTGGGCAGCTCGTGCGCGGTCTTAGGCCAGAGCTGAATCTCCCCAAAGATCAAATCCACAGTCTCTCCCCGTGCAAGTTTGGTGTGCTCTCCTCTGCCTTGGACGAATATGTAATCACACATATATGCATACCATACATATGCATGCACGCATATTGCGTATATATGTATGTGCATATATGTCTGTCTATCTTTCTATCTATCTGTCTTCAGTGCTATATTCAGCCCTTCACTAGAAATGCCTGTTAATTAGCAATCTGATCCAATGCTCGCACACAGCACATTTGCCAGGGGGACGCGTCATTTTGAGAGGTGCATTGGGATGAAGGAAGTAATCTTGTGGAAAAAGCATTTCCTATTGACACACAAATAGAATTCGACCCGAAGGAACAATTGTTGATAATGAATAATTGCATGTTATCTATGTATCACGTAGTATGCACATATGAAATGTGAGCACATATATAAATATTTGAAATACGTGTATAGATCTCTTTGTGTGCGGATACAATTAAAAGGTGTTTTTGGGGGATGACCAAAGCTATGCATGTAGTTCGAGTGATGTCAACTTATAACTCTGGGAAGATGGCTTAGGATCTGTTTAGGATCCTCTGTATTATTTAACTTGGCAGTTAAACTCTGGTGGTGCAGCCTTCCCAAAGGTATCAGCATCAAGTGG